TGTAGTAAAGTAATGATAAACGTTTCCATCAAACAAATACTTATTAAAGGGGCCAAAGAAGTCACAGTTTCTCTGTATGGATTAATTCTCAACATTTAAGTAGCTCACTGCAAAGAGAATAGCAAGCAGGCAGTAGCAGAAGAACCAACTGCCGATTTCCACATATTCTTTAAATCCCTTAACAATCGTCCCATTTTATAGATGAGGAAATTGAGGTCAGGAGAGCTCAGCTCTTTGCCAAAGATCATGTAGTGGTCAGAGATGTTAAGCTCCGGCTGCCTCATTATGTGCTGAGTAGCACAGAAAGACACTGACCCAGGTTGCTGGGGTTCAGGGGTTTGCTCACCTGAAGAGTTTTTGAGGCTAGCCACAAGATGCGTTAGGGTAGTCCATTAAGAGGACTATCCCATCTAAAGAAGAGAGTCCCTTTCAGCCAGCTAGATAACAGAGTTGCTGATTTAAATAGAAGTTTTTAAAAATTCCTCAACAGAAAATTTTCATTTTATATTGGAATGTGTTCATTTCACTGTCACTTCTGTAAATATGTCTTTGTGCCTAGTAGGTACAAGGAACCCTAGCCCAGACTGCATTCGCACTCAGTATTGAAAAGTACATAAGAATTGCATGAAGTGAGGCATAACCATACTTTGTTTGAAAAAGCTTTCGCACACACTGGCTGCATCCTCCTACCCCAGGCAGTGTTGTTCAAAAAGCAAGTGCTGGGTATGTTCTGTTCTCAGGGCAGTGGCTGGGAGTTTCTGAGGGGGGCTCCTTCCCAACTTGTATAGTGTTGAGAATTTCTGATCATTCCTCATGAAGAAGTTCCCAAGTGCAGCACTGACCAGACCTGACCAGGGTATGGGAGCTTGTTGGGCACGAGGCGTCAGACTCTGCTGGCTGATTCCTGTCTCGGGTAGGAATTCAGAAAGGAGTAAGTAAAGTCTATTTGCTGATAAGCACAAAAAATTGATTATTCATTCTTGTTATTGAACACTAACTCCGTGTTATGTACATAATATCCCCCAATAATAAATGAAGAAAGTTCCATAATAAAATTCATTAGAAATCAACATAAATTAAAAGCCAATGTAAAATTAAGATATAACCCCCAAATTTCAAGCAGATAGTGGGGCTTATTTCTTTAGTTTGTGGCTTGTCCCTAAAATCCCACTGCTGTGTTTATAACAAGGATCCACTTTTAGAATGTTCTTCCAAAGACCGTGCAATGATTCCACTTGTAGTCAGTTGGGGATGAAGAGAGGGCAAGGGACCCAGGGAGCGTGCAGCAGAGGATGGCACGGGAAACGCCCCCTCCAGCCCCTGCAACTTAACGTGAAGGACAGTGGCACGGACGGTACCATTGAAAGCCACAATTAACTACCACAGCTACTCCAGGGCCTATGAGCTTTCAAAGATGTCTAGTCAAGCAACAGAAGAGACATACTCCTATCTGAATGCCCTCTTGCCTGGCTGCTGGATCCTTAGAACAGCGTGTCTATTCTTCACCTTTTCATCTCTCCAGAGAAGAGGGCACACTGAGCAGATGTTGAATGTTCAAGTAAACATTTAAAAAGCTGCTGGTGATTTTCCATGATAAATAGTCAATATACCATGTGAGCAAATGAAGAAATAAGATTCAACTAAAAAAAATGTCTTAAGGTTAATTTCCCATTCCGACATCCAAGATTAAAAAAGACTGACATTGGTTTCGAAATGCCAATCAACTAAATTTTCATACATGCTTAACATAAACTCAGAGTATATCCATGAAGAAGCCATTTCATACAAACATTATGGGAGGGCACAGTTCCAAGTGTATCTTCAGAGCAAAATAATTGGAATTTTTGAGAGGAAGGAAAAGGACTTACAAGTCCCACAAGATCCACCCTGTCAGCCCTGGTAGTACATCCACAGGATGCAAAGAAATCAAGGATTTCTGCCAAAAGTCAAAAAAACAGTTTCTCAAGGGAAACAGAAGAGGGTTAAAATGGAAAACAGGAAGGAGAAAATAGTAGAAATTTTATTATCTAAATTAGATCTGTCAGTAGTCAGTGATGGGAGAAACATTAAGAGCCTTGGTGTGGAAAGGTCCTCCACAAGCCATTCTCCACCCCACACTAAATCTGTGGGGCTGAAGGCTTCCATTCCTTTGTTCAAAGATAGCATGCAAAGCTGGAGCAACTTGCTTTCTAAAAACAGAAGCAGAGACTCAGACTAACATGAATGCATATTTAATAGATGCACACATCCTCATGAAGGGCGGACCCTTCGTACTGTTTCCCCGGTCACTGCTGATCAATTTAGCTCCCATAGTCACTGGCCTGGGCCAGAAATCAGAATTTAACAGAAGGCAATGCACGTTTTGTTCCTCCTACCTAGTCTAATCCCCTGGAGCATTCCTCTGCAAACCCTCCAATTTCCAGTTATCATTACTCCATTTGCTGGAACAAATCTCTAATTCTGCCCTCTGTCTCCTTCCCCTCAGCAGCTTTCCCATGAGGAGGCAGTTTCGCATTGGCAACACCCACAAACAAACAGCTTCTTGGACAATGCAAAGGAAACAGGCCATAATTTTCAGGACACCTCACATCAAGAGCTGGTCTAAAGTGGAGATAGCAGATGGGAAAATCCACTTAAACTCGCACAGGGTCCCCCTAACTTTTTGTTTGGTCTGGTGCCCCTGCACTGAGAACGGTCACAAAAGCTGCTGGATGGGGACTCTCAGTGTTGTGACTTTCACAGCTGTCTACACAGAAACAGGCGAGTTAGCAACAGTGTAAACAAATGACAGAACTCAAACCCCGAAGAGGACAACTGTTTCTATCTCTTGTAGATAGCAGTGCTGGGCACAGCTCTTCAAAGTGGAAAAGTACACTGGCCTTTCCCCAGAAGGCCTCTAAATGTCACAGACCGGGCATGCTCTCCTTTCTCTGGACACAGAAAGCTGAAGAGGAAGTGGGCTTGGTTCCCCAGAACTAGGTCAGTGTACATGCATATTTCAGGTATCGGTTGGTGTGGCCTAAAGGACTTCCTCAGGCCTCAGAATTGATGCAAAGCAGCGGGGTTATGTATGTAGTCAAATGTGGAAAACAAAGGACTTTGCTGCCTCCTGCCTTCCTTACTAGCAAGCAGAGGAAAGTCACTGAGGATCCCTCCCACACCAGGGTATGGCAGCAGAAAGGATGCAGACACTTACCTTGAAGTTGTGCGTCTTCTCATAGTTGAAGTGGTTGTCATTGTGTGTGAGGGCGGCCCTTCGAACCAGCGAGGAGATCTGTGAACAGGCAAAGAGTTTGAAAGGAGACCAAAGAAAGCCACCTTTGAGTCCCACCTTTACCCCCAGTGCCACGGCCAGCAGCTCTTGGCGCCTCCTGCCCGGCTTAGACTTCCGAACCACAGCACACTTTTTCTCGTTTTCCAGCCACAGTTCTTGGGAGAACATAGTGCTTGGATCGCAGCTCTTTCGAGTTTCCCTTGTGGAGCTCTCAGAGCCGACAGGGTTGAGATCCGCGGCTAATGTGAGGCAGTAGATTTGAAGCAGCTGTGTCCTGTCTGCAGAGGCCTGCGGCATGTGATCTGGAAGGGCCGGTCGGTATGAGTGATGGAGGGGGCCCTGGCAGTGTGGGGATGGGCCTGCTTTGTGCAATTTCTTATGGCTGGCGTGTGCCTGGAACAATAGCACACATTCATGTGCATAGCCACCCCCAGAAGCAATACCCAGTCAGCACTGGGATTCAGGGAGGCAGCAGCAGCAATTACACACACACACACACACACACACACACACACACACTGGTGTTCAAAGTCTGAGACTGTATCCAATTATTCTGGGCCTCTGAACCTCATTCTGGGCTGGCCTCCAGCAAATTAAGCCTTAAAACCCAGATGACTGATTAATCTTATAGGGATAAAGTCCCATCTATTTTTCAAATCTGCCCAATATTTGAAAGCCATCCCTTTATTTTTACACACGCATAGAAATGGAACAGTCTGAGCTGAGCTGGTTGTGGAAGAAGAGCAAGACATTTTCTAAAGTCCACAAGCTCCACAGTGAGTTAGAAACCAAGAGGCAGGCTATCTCTCTGTGGGATTTTTCCATTTCCCTAGATCTTCCTCTCTCAACTCCCCCTCAATCCCATGAAGACAAGATATTCCTTAACTAAAACCCAAGCATCACTTGTTTTCCTTATAAACACAGCATCTCAGATGCTCCTTCGGTTAGTGCCCTGGCTTCCCCCAATGTCCTTTTTGCTTTTAAAAGCATTTAGTGGCCTCCTGTGGGACCACAGTTTTTGGTCCTAGGTCCTTCTATTAATAGAACTGGAAAAACTGTGATGTCTTGGGACACTCCTGAACCCTAGGTAAACTTGAAGGCAGTGAATGCCAGGCACTAAAATGATACTTTAAGAACTAGAAAACAAGAAGAATGCGGTGGCTGGGTGGGTGTGGAGATGGATGGCTCATGAAATTCATCCTGTGTGCTGAGGCTTGGGCCAATGACTCCACAGAGCCCTCCGAGCAGCCCTGTGGCAAATAGTGAGAGATCAACCCTTGCCTGCTGTGATTCCCTATTCCCATGCTCCATCGTTTCGGCTTGGTACAGAAGTCCACTCTTCCATTTCATCTAGCTACCTTTAATTAGAAGTAACAGCCAAAGTTTACGTGAAACAGTCACTCAGACCACACCAGATAATGTGCAGAATGTACTGAGTGCATTTATTCACTTACTCTTCAGTACACGGGTGTGAAGGAGGAGACTTTTCTGCTCATTTTCTGAATGAAAAGACTGAGGCATTGAAAAACAATTTGCTGAAGGACATGCAGTTAGTTTCAGCAGCAGAGTGAAGACTAAAAGGCAAAACATCTGCTCGCCGCCCCTGAGCACTGAAACACTGTGCCCTTCGGCCACATCCTGCCACCATGCCCCCAAATGCATTATCTCAAATACGGTCCAGGCCTTCTCCTTTTCCCATTGTCCTGCCCTCCAAAATTCAAACTCCCGTGTAAGCCGTGTTGCACACACAGCCATGTTGCACATGCACACATGCTTCCACAGCTCGGAAAACACCATGTCCAAACATGTCTCAGCACTGTGGGCTTCTCCTGGCCTCAGTATCTAGCTCATCTCATTTCCTTCACAACCTAGCAAATGTACTCCCTGGCATACTTAACTTCTTGATGTGGCAGCTTGCTCCTCTTGATTATTCTAACATCATTTTAATGTGTCTACATCCTCAGTAGTATTACATTCTAAGTGAAATGCTAAGAAGACACGCAGACTTCCCACTGGAGGTCTATTGCACCTCTGAAGCACCCTTTCTCATCACATATCATCAGCATTACTATTTTGGATTTGAGGGATCAATGACAGATACTGCTCCCCGCTATACCAAGAACTCACACAGCATGCCCATGTCTGGCTCACCTTTGTTTTCCTTGCAAATGTCTAATGGGATTCCTTGCTATAGCTGCCACTAAACATATACAAGGTTCTGGAAAGTTGTTGCAAATGGAGGAAGGCAAAGCTGTGGAGGAGAGGAAAAATGATGCCCTATGGTATGGGGTCTTTCGAATAAGATGGTCCTCACCATGCCTGCAGCCTGGCTTCCAAGAAACAGACCTCCTAGGAGGCTTTTCCCTCCTGACGGCCCTTTCTCTGACCAGTCCCAAAGTTCAGTTGTCACTGGAGGACTGAGTCAGGGTTTGGCATAGCTTAGAAAGGCCTCCAGGCTTAGCCTTAGGTAGATACTTGGAGACCAGGAATAAAAAATCTTTTTTAAAAATTCTTCACTGCTAGTAAATCAAGACAGGTCTTTTGGTGGCAAAGCAACTGTGTCATGTCACATCCAATTCTGTGATCTGTACTCAGCAAATTGCATGAATGTGCAGTTTCAGAATAAGATAAAATAACTCTTTTCATGGCAAGTGGATAATGAGAAGCTCCTCCTTTTGACCCACTGGTAGTTGAATACAAGCCTTAATATTTTTTCTTGTGTTTCCATCATTACTTATAACCAGCAATTTTTATTTCTCTTCATAGCAGTGATTTCTTTTTCAGACATTTCTTCGACAGCATTTACCCAAAGACAAAATGCATTCAGAAACAGGCAAGAACCACACACAGTTCCCCTAAGAGTCCTATTTATAGAAGTTGCAAATGTTAGCCCTGCAGCAGCATGACAACCCTGTGGGTGACCTTGAGTCACCCTCTTATTAAAGAAAAATGACTACAAAACCACTCCCTCTTCAGAAAGGCTCGCACAGAGCTCTTCTGTATCTGAGCATCTCCAGGGCAGCTCCTTAGTCTTGTTTCCATCCTCTACTACATAGAATGCAGTGTCCCCAATACACAGTGGACACTGGGTCTTACTGATGGTCTTTTTCTAACAGACATCTTCATCTGACCCAGTCTTACCTAAACTTTCCACAGATGAAGCACATTTCTCTTCATGTCCTGTTTAGACACAGGATTTTCCCTCAACTGCTGGCACACGGGCCAGCTCAGTGAAGGGCTGTGCTGTGTGTTGTGAGCTGTTTGTTAGCACCCCTCCCTTGCTTTTACTTACTAGATACCAGTAGAACTGCCATTGTTGGTACTGAAAATGTCTCAGGGCATTGCCAAATACTGCCCATGAGAAAGACTTACCCAAGTGAGGCTTGTCTAGGTTAAATTAATAGCACAAGAATTTAAGAGTGCTTACTACATGCCACATACCATGCTAAGCATGTTGTGTATTTCTACTCACTTAGGATATTTAACACTAGAACACTACACTATTATAAAAACTTTAACACTCTATGAGTACCTATATTATACAGATGAGGACACAGAAACTATGAGACTAAGTGACTTGCCCAAGGTCCCACAACTGGTAGCTGATAGCATGTTGGCAAATCTAAGTAGCTGTAGACTTTCCCCACCCCACAAGAACAACCTTCATTTTTTATTGTGATAAAATATACATAACGTAAAATTGACCATTTAGACGACTTTAATATGTACAATAATTCAATGGTAGGTAGGAGAACCACCATGTTCTGCAGCTGCTGTCACTATCTGGTTTCAGTGGTTGTCACTCCCTAGTTCTTCCTCCATGAAGCCCATGACTACCACCAATATGCTGTCTATAGATCTGCCTGTTCTGAATATTTCATAATGATGGGAATCCTGCAACATATGGCCTTCTGTATCTTTGTACCATGTTTTCAGGGCTTGTTCACAGTGTAGCACTGAATGAAACTTTGTTTCTTGTATTGCCGAGTATGGAACCACTATGTGGATACACCATATTGTGTTGATGCCCTCATCAATTGATGGGTATTTGACTTGTGGTCATCTTTAGGTCATTGGGCCTACTGCTACAATGGACATTCTTTTTAAAAATTATTTACTTAATAACCACTTAATTAGAAGAAGCATTTCCTTACAACAGCATTGACATATTCAATAACAATTTCCAGGGCTAAGATACATTTCTTTCAGAATTGGCTGTAATTTTTAGGTTTACAGTTGAATTAATATGATTATACAATATTGTACTCAGTATAAACCCTATAAGATATAAAATTAAATGAGGTTTTAACCTTTAAAAATTCCATTTCATTACTAAAATACAGTTTTATACAGAAAAATTCATTTTTAATGCAATTAACACTAAGATGTTTGCACATGGTTTCTAATCTCTATATATCTGATTATTACTAGTCACAGTCAGTTACTTTCTGAGCTCCTCGGCATCTGAGCATGGTTATAAAGTCATCAGGTAGATTTCAATGGTAATGTTTTTCACACCTACTGATTATTAAGGAGCAAATTTTTATGCTTTAAAGAATTATTATTTTTTAATTTTTTAAAAAATTCAATATTGTATAACTGTATTAATTCAACTGTAA